AGAGAATAAGCTAATATTCATCGAGGAAGAACGCTGCAAGAATCGGAAGGCAGCAGTGCGCACTTAGTTCAAGGTTTTGGAATGATTAACATACCTCCTCCAAAACTGATTTCACAGTGTATTGCACTAGACTTTGCAACTAGATATCTAATCTGTGAACATCTTGCGGACCTTGGCTCCATCGCATTTGAATATCTACTGCACTATGGGCACAACACATCAATTTGTCATTATACTCGTCAACAGTAACGCATCGGGAATCGGTCCTCTCGTGTGCTTTGGCAAAACGAAATACCGGTTATACGCCGGAATATGTCAACAAGTACGTGTCTCGAAAACCAAGTATCAAAAATACATGACATGTATCTAACACTACAGGAACTCAAAGGAATAAAGTCATGGCCGATTTAAATGACTCGTAGGCATCTAAGAGTAATAGGTCGGTACCATATGATATAGCATACCGTTTTGAATGAGCAACTTAGATATGCATGGACGTACGAGCCAGTGTGTTCTATGATCCACGTTTAAACAACTCGTTATCAAAGAGATCTTAAAAATCAGGTAGCATTAGTAGAAACTGCTGCAAATAGCTGATCTCGGTTTCCAACGACTGACCATGAATGAGACAAATTTTCTCAATAAACTTAATCCTTTATTATTGTAAATAAATGAAGAAATTTTGCATTACAAGTTGCGAAGAAAGGAAGAAATGATGCTATTTATTCCGACACTGGTCCAGCTGGCTATATGTAATGAAAACGCAGAGAGGAAGTACCTAGCAGGGTAGTAGCAAGGTATCATGAGGCGGTTAGCTTCGAAGCTATTTTAACGACTTTGCAGAACACTAAACGTGTATTAGACGTTTTCATTACATCTACTGCATATTAACAATGATCAGATGCTAAGGATGTTCACTGACATGATTTTCAATTTTATTTCGAGTCGAAACAACATGCCTTGGTACTATACGATTGTGATGTTTCATTTGGCCAATGAAATAACTTATGAATGGTAAACGGCGTCGATTTACTTGATTAAGTAATACAGTGCGTCTCGTTGGCGATGAAGATGAGAAAGTTAAGTTCAATTGAAACTATGTAATTTCAGTGAATGTGCTTCTGCATAGCTGAAAATATAACTTAGTGATACAATTCAAGGAAACTTTCCAGCAACACGTTAGTTAATTAACACGTTAGTTAATTTGAATCTAGTTCAAATAGTCACACATCGCAAAAGTTAGGTAATAGGTCGTAGAAACAGTTTCCCCTATCCTGAACTTACCGCAGCGTGCTATCGGTCATCAAGCATATCCAGGCATTGCAGACTTAGCTATAGCCTCAAAATTAATTGTCATTTACTACTTTCTTACTGGCATAACAGCATTACGGTAAGCACCTACCGTTTCATTTTCTTAACGAGTGGACATCTTCAGTTCTGTCCGAAACTTGAATATCAATATTTCAAGTTCATGGCTACGAAGAGAGCTGAGGAGTAACGCTGTCTTTCTTCTTTTGGAGTATTTTGAAAGCTAAATGAGTTTCGACCGTAATCCGTCTCTCGCACGATCACCATCGTCTGTTTCGATAGGGTTGTTGTGCATGGGGAGCACGCTTTCCATAATATGCAACGATACCGCGATCTGACGTTCGCTGGTTACCAGGGGAACAACTGTTTCATAGTATCACAGCAGGGCAGCACGACCCTTCCGCTTGCAGTCAAGCTGATTACTTGATTCAGTAAATATTAACTTCGTCATCAACGGAAAGTCAAAATGGATTAAATCTGTAGCGAGGATTGAAACGGCGTTCACATGTTTGTTAACCATATGCTTGCTTTTCATGGTTAGACTTACGCGTTTTTCATCACTTGGTTGGTCAATCGAGACGCGCTTAAGATTTCCGTATTACCTCAGTTATTTCACTTGTTGTCCTATCGTGTAGTGTGCCTTTCTCGTAGTACTGTAGGAACGGGATGGGGCGTTTTGGCGCAGTCGTTTTGGTGCAGACCGCTGGCTGGCATCAGCGTTCGGTCCCGCGGTCGCCGCATTGAATCTGTATAACCGGACTATGGCCAGTTGCATAAACAGCGTGATTCAGCCCATCACGTTATATATCAGTGGTTAACTCTCTGAGTGCAGTTGTCAAACTAGTGGATTTTTCATTACACTTCTATTATGACGACTGTGCGATGTCAGTACGTCACGGCGCAGTCCGCGTAGGCGAGAGTGAATTTCTTTCATTGGTAAATGGTCATTCCGATCAATGATTTGACTTCGCTCATCATATGGTTAATCAACGGAAAGCACTCTGCTACTACAAAGCGATGCCATTGTCAAACTATGAATGTCGATGATTTTTATTTTATTTTATGGTGTACGGTAGTCGCTAAGACAGTGCGTTGCCATTTCATCTGAAGTCAGAGCTTATATAACTGCAGGTGTCCATCTGCATTAATTACTTGATTTAATCGCTCGCGCTAAACATTGCCGTAAAACTCTTTATGAGCAGAACACGAAACTTTCGTTAGTCAGTCAGTCAGATTTAATGACAGCTTATCCTTTCGGATCACGGAGGCAAAAGTATTAGACAGTGTTTCGAACAATTCTGATCCTGTGCAAGCATTTGAGCTTTGGCAAGAGATGACTCGAGTATATCCATGCACCTGCCTCAGACAATTCTTGACCGCTCCCGCTGCTGTCGGCCGGTGGGTTTAGCAAGTACTTACTGTTTCGCTTACTTTTTGGAAGCATTCGAAGGACATATTTGAAGAAACAACAGCCATGCATCAAGACTCCCTCGAATATCTTAACTCTAGACCACGTCAAGATGCGTGAGGCCAGCGACAGCGATTTGTCTCAGAAAGCCAATTTAAACAGCTTGTATCCAGAATCGAAGCTTTTCAGTCATAGCTCACAAATTTTTGACCGTAGGTGAGCGTCGGAACGAAGATCGACTAGAACACTGAGAGCTTAATCTTCAGACTCAACTTTGATTCGGACACAAAGACTCAGGCTTGTTCTCACAGGACGCCGCTGACCATTCTAATTCGCCGATATCTTCTATGTATGAAACAAACAGGAGATGCGACAGAACGCAACAGTGGTGAAGACCAGTACCAACATTGAAAGGTCTTGCTTTAACGTCATTTACTCTGGCGCAGCCGTTGCAACCAGCCTATAGTGATTGAGTGACCCGTAGCAATTGGCAAATGATCCCATATGTTTGCAGGCACT